TTTGTTTCTTTAGTTATGTTACTTGTTTGTTTTATTATGTTTTGTTTCTGACCAAGGGTTGCACTGCTCGGAACATGCAGTCCTTGGGAGGGGTCAGTGTTACGAAATGTCAAGGTGTGGTGAGATAGCTTCCCCGCAAAGCAGTTTTAGGGTTGCCATAAAATGTCAAGGGAAGGCAGGATTGCCACATGTGGCGAGAAATCACCCATTTGGCTACAAAATTGGCAGTATCCCATGGACAGACGGAGAACCTTCTGGAACGAATTCTTACCGGTTTAGCCCAGACTGTTCTTGAACACAAGCCGAAAGCTATATCAACCCTGCTGGTCCACAGTTAGTTAGTATCGAGAGTGTACCTCGTCTAAAGTGCGAGATAGTCAGTCCATGCAAAGTCGATCGAGTTGAAAGCCGGGCAGCGAGTGCAGAGTGGGTCGTCGTGTTCACAGAAGGAGTCTCTTAGTGAAGTGCGGTTAGTGCATCGTCAAGAGAGCGTGTTGAGCTCCGGGAATGACTGAACTGATGAGTCAGGAGCTGTGCTCGTGTGTCATCGAGTGCATCGCAAGTTGTAGTGTGGAGAATCTCGAGAGTACGGGGAGTTCCGAGAACAACCAAGCAGAATCGGGAGCTGTACTCTGGTGCTTTGTAGGAAGCTGTCTCTACCATTATTGCTTGACAGTGTGTAGGCTGTGTCGCTGATTGTTCCGGCGTGTTTATAGTAGATCTTCGACGACTGTAAAAAGTGTGTTGGAGCTGTCCTGATTAATATTGGCTAAATAAAGTGTGTTTCGATACTCCATTATCGAGTGTCGTCATTATTCACTCCAAATCTACAAACCCCATATGAACCTGAAGGAAGAAAAAAACTTAACTACTGGTGTCAGAAAAAAACATAACAATATATTTTAACAAACAGTCTTTATTCATAAAAGCAAATTTAAAGGTAATTAAAAATTAAATTTAAATTATGAAATTTTAATTGTAACAAATTAATTAATTATTACTGCAAACTAATCTACAATATCATTTAAATTCTGAGAGCACATGTAAATAAGTGCAGGTATCAAAATCCATGAATAAATATAATATTCCCCCCAAATTTTTTTTAATCCTAAAAAATTAAAAATAAATTAAATTCAAATTTCATTCTTTGCAGCAATGCCACAAGAGAATGATTTAGTTTAATTTAACTTTACTATATATATATATATATACAAGAAATTCTAGGTAAATCTGCTAATTTTTGAGATATTGGCAGCAGCAATGGTATCAGAATTCTTTTTTTGAACAATATTTTGTTAATGTGTTCATTTTGAGTTATTATTAAGTATCTCTATTATTAAGTAATAAAGAATTTTTATGTATGTATGTATGTATGTATGTTCCATGTTTTATGGGAAAATGGTAGCATTTAGAGCCACCAACTTTGAACACATGTAGTCCTTGACCCAAATGTGTGCGTCTCAAAGGCCAAATCTTGAGTATCGAATTTTTTTTTTTTATTTATTTATTTTCATTTTCTTCAAAATTAATGCAGTTTTGACTAGCAGCTAGAGATTTTAGCTTTGTGTTGCCACCCTGAAAAGAATGATTTATGTTTCAACTCAGCGATATAAAAGAAGTAGTATTGCGTTGCCACTTGGCCAAATGCAGTGTATTTGTCTTTTGAATTTAATTGCGTTGTTGAAAAATGGCTGAGTTACCGAAATTTGAACATACATAATCCTACAACCTACATGTGTTCCTTTAAGTCTGAATTTTGAATTTATATTTTATCTATTTCATATTTTGTGCAGATTTAAGAAACTTTTGATTAACAAAGTAAGTGATATAAAAGCTTTGTGTTGCCACTCAACAATGCATAAGATGTTTGTTTCAGATTTAATAAGGAAACTTAACAATGTAAAAGAAATATGTTGCTCGGTGAAGCATGTTAATACAGTCAAAAGTCTTTAATCCGTACTCGTCGGGACTTCGGCAATTCCATGTTATCGGTTTTTCCGGATTATAGATCATCAGTTTAAAGCTGGTAAGATGGCATGCAGAAATTATAAAATTAAAAATATGAAACCATAATTTAGGAAATAAAGAGCAATTATGATCTAAAGAGTATCAAAATTTACAAAAAAAAAAAAAAAAAAAAGCTTAATATTTATTTGTTTACTTTGTTAAACATTTCTTTCAATGCGTGCATGCGTAAAGCATGCATTATGCATAGTCGAAATTCGAAAATTGCAACCAGAAAACTATTTGACGTGTATTCGTGATATTTATAATGACAAGGAATTTGATTTAAATCATATCAAAGGAGTATATCGAGATGAAATACTGCATTTAGTTAGGAATTATAAGCCGAATAAAATAAAAACATCTGCCCTGAACATAAGGATAGTGCTGACAGATCAACTTCCAGTTCATTGCGCGTTGCGTCGTCCCCCCCCCCACACAGCAGCGTGAAATTGATAAACATATTTCGAAATGGTTAGAGAATCAAAGGATATGCCTTTATCCATTTTTTGCAGCAATTCCTCTTTTTGTTTGATGGACATCGAACATGCTTTCGCTTTGTAGATCCTTTGGTAGCTCCAGAATCGGAAATTCTTTTTGACATAATCGAAAGTTTAAGCTTACTTTTATAAAATTGCTCTAACAGTCTGCAAAAAATAAAAAGCCGGATCCAACTCAAAGCTTAAGGAACAACTCAATCTGCTACATTAACTGAAATAGATAATTAGATAATTTTAGCTTAGCTTATATCATCCGTTATACATTAAACGCGCATGCATAAACGTATTATGTGCATGCATAGACGCATATGCGCATGCGTAAAGGTATTATGCGCATAATGCATTGACACATGCGCAAAAAGTTTGTAGGTCCGGATTATGGATCATTACAGATTAAAGACTTTTGACTGTATTTGTTTCAAATTGCATCAACAAACTCAGCGATTTATAAAGGAAATGTATTGCCACTGTTCGAATTAAAATATTTTTATCTTCCATGCTGGTGTGTTGTCTTTTATGAAAATGTAAGCTATTAAATTTTTCTTTTTAATTCGTTTTGTTATTAATTAACAAACTAAGCAATTTGAAAGCAGTAAATGAAGATTGATTTCACTTATTATTAAGTACTACTGTACCTTTAAAATTACAATAAATGGGTTCGTTAAAATCAATGTATCGCCTGCACGAGTGGCTAGTTACTTAAAAATTGGAAATATTATATTTGTTCTATGGATTATTTTTTCCTGCTTAAATTTTCTGTTCCCAAACTTCTAGTTTTACATTATACATTTAGTAAAATATTCTGTTATATGCCAGGCTCACAAACATTTATGATTTAATTATTAGGTATGAGAAATTTATGATTACAAGAGCAAATTTATATGATTTGAATAAAATTTCTGTGCTTTTCTCTAGATTGTTAAATTTTTCAAAGTATTACTTGTAGCCATGGAATGTTTATTTTACTTAACTGAGTTAAAAATGTTATAAAATATAGATTCACTAACCAAACTAAATGCTATTTACAATTAGGAAAGTCTCAGGCACTTTTCAGATTTTATAGCTGTTGAAAATTCCTGTTTTAAAAGAAATTAAGAGATGGGCAGTCAGTCTTTATTTAAGCAACTGCAGTCACAAATGAATTTAATTTAGACATGTTTTTCTTACTTGGAGTTTCAAAATTAATTTAAGTAGCAATTTATTGTTTTGAACCATTGTTACTACATATTTAATATAAAACTTACTGAGGTGGCATATTTTAAAATGTAAATAGAATCCAGTGATCTCTAAAAGATTCTCTTAAATCCTTCGTATGAAAGTAAGAAAAAACAAAATTAAGGGGGTTTACAAAATTTCAAATTTTCATTTGATGACAGACGAATTTAAGAATGAAGTTTTTAAGAATGTATCTGTATTTTTAAAACAATATGAATGAAACTTGGTAGATAAAGTACATAATCAACCCCTTAATGTGCAGTTTATTCTTATAGAAATGGTCCATAATATATTTCTAATTGCATTTGACTATTTCTTGCTTTATCTTGACAAGTTTATGAAAATATTTAGGAGGCAGCCAAGCAATGCACATTCTTATATATATTAAGAGTATATTCTTAAATTCAGTTAAATTATTCTTAACTATGCTCATTAAGAGCTTAAAACTCTAGCATCTTCTTCAATTTCTCGACGTAATTTGATGAGAAGGGGACATTTAAGCAACATTTCTGTTTCAGAATCCTTTCTAAATCAAAGCAAAGGTAGAAAGGGGAGAATTAGTTCCATAGTTTACTGTATTTAGCATTTTTCTGTGTTAACTATGGAAATAATTCTCCCTTTTATATTCTTGCTTTGATTTAAAAAGTATTCTGAGAAAATGCAAAAGCAAATGTTGCTCAAATATTTTTTTTCACTCATCAAGTTAGGTTGATAAAATGAATGAGATGCTAGAGTTTTTTCTGTATTTAGTGTTTAACCTATAGTATTGATGTAGTTATACTATATTACTGAAATGATAGAGTTACTATGTTATTGAGATGATACTAGTAATTGAGGGCTACTGAAATTGCAACAGTTTTATTCTTTTTTATGTGAACGTTTCTATTTGACATCAGTAAAACTAATCATGTCAATGTTTTTAATTAAAATGTTTATTAAAAGTTTTTCGGCTGAAGAGAAAAATCTTCAGATGGTGGACATAGTGCGAAAAGTCAATTTTTTAATCTGAATATCTCATCTTAGTAATTGAAGCCTTAGTGCATTTCAAGAGGCAATTTGAATTTGGTCTTTTGTCTTGAGTCTCTACACTTAAAATCAGTTTGAAGCAGATATATTTTTAAAGTAGCTTAAGTTATTATGCATCTCTTATATATATATATATATATATATATATATTATGATGGTATGTATAAAATTGATATTTATTTGCCATATTTAATCATTGTATGGATGATTGTTATTTATGGAATATTGTTATTTTTCTTTCTTTAAATATTACAGAGCTTGAATACAAATGTCCATGCCCTAGCCATGAAGGCAAAGAAGTTCTCAATGCAGTGTTTCCTTTACCAGTAGATGAAGTATTTTCACTTATTTTTACTGGTTCAAAATTTTACTTTGACCTTTTAGAATCTAGAAAAACATATGGTAAGTTTTATCTTATGGAAGGTTAATGTAACTATATTCTGTGCTTATAAAATTTTGCCTTATTATTTGCCATATTCTGTGTAAGCCACTTATTTTCATTTCATAATATTTTGTGTTGCATTTTTATGAATATATGATGTATTTTAATGCTGCTGAACATATATGGGGTGAAATTATCACAATATAGTAATCATAAGTATTTTTTATTCATTCAGTTGCTTATGAAATGTTGTTATGTTCATGAAATTAATAATACATTTAATAGAAATAATATTGCATGTGATTTGTAGTTAAAATGGGTAACTCTTGTTTCTAACATACAAGTATTTTTATGGCTTTTAATCAAACAGCATCTAGGAAAGCTTAAATGAAAATATGAGGAAAATATTTTTCTAAAATTTAAGAAATTACCATTGGTTTTCTGTAATAAATTTCATACACAAAAACTTTCTTCGGTCATTAACTTCTGAAATTTCTGCTAGTTTCATCTCCAACATGTAAGGAACTTTAATGACATTGGTCTCAAAAATGCATCAAAACTAATTTTACCAGCACTGAAAACCTGAAATAGCAAATTTCAAATCATAACTTATATAATGTTTAAAATAAATGTATTTTGAATATATCTTTTGTGTTTGAAATTTTTGCATTTCATGCATTTGTTTTGTAAATAATGGAGTGATGTGGAATGATTTCATTAGGCACGGGTTTGTCATCAGATTTGAAAATCCGTTACATTTATTTGTCTGCTGATTTACATTTATTTGTCTGCTGAGTTTCCATTTATTTTTTCTCCCAAAATTTTCTTTAAAAGATTGAAATCTAAGAAATTTAGTAATTCTTGAATAATTTCAAGTATTAAAGTGATTCCTCTTTTGTACACTGATGTTCCAAAGTGATTTTACATACTAAAAAAAAAAAAAAAAATTTTTTTTTTTTTTTTACTGGTAGATAAAATTGAAGTTATGTTAGGTGATACATACTGTCATTGCACTAAATACAAACTAAAAACTGAGCATTATGCATACAGTACAAAATTTAATCATGAAACAGACAAAACTGAAGTAATGTGTGATGGTGAAGTTTTAGAGAAAAGTGAATATCTTAAAAATAAATACAGACTTTTGATGCTATAATCTTCTCTAACTTACGCAAGAGATGTTCCCAAAGTTTCAGAAGTTTAGGTATAATTTTTTTTTATTTCATCAATTTTCATCAAAATTATAATGGTGCTTTTCAATACTTATTTATTTGAATATACTTATCCCAATGAAAAACTACTTTTTTAAATCATCCTCAAAGAACATTTTTGGTGTCTCTTTAATCTGCCTTAGTCAGAATACTTCTCACAAATGTTGAAAAATATTTGAAGTTTTCACAACTTCTTTACACAAAAAGAAAATAATTGGTCTTTGCCTCTTCCATGGTTGTAAAAACAGTGCTGCAAAAATGCTCCTGTGCAGTTAAGTGCCATTTTATATGATCACATTTATTTGTCTATGATTGTTTTGATTAAGCAATAAAGAAAAAATACTCTTCAAAATAACAGTGGCTTTTAATATAAACCAGAGACGTATAAATAGGCACTTTCACAGCATTTTAACAAAGAATTTTTGTTTATCAGCTGATCAGAATTTCTTTAATGTAGAAGTTCATTTATGAATTATTCAGAATATTTCTAGAAGCTATTTGACCAATACTGAAATGCTAATCTTAATACTTGGCAGGTATGTCTCATTGAAAGAGAACATTTCAATGTAAAATTTAAAATTCGGGTGAAAAAAAAGCAATCATAGTAAATGTTTTCATAGATTTTTTTTTTCCTTCCAGGAGCAAGAAAAAGGGGAGGTAAACTCTGCTGAAATTTTTCTTGCTCCTGAAAAAGAGGGACCTGTGTCCACCTCTTAAAAATAGAAGTAGTTATTCAAAATCTACACCAAACTAAGGTTAACTTTTTTCCTTAATTTTAAATGGCTGATTAAAATTGATCCCATGCTGTTTGTTTACTTATTCCCTTATTTGGCGATTTTCTTTGTTACTTGCCAATTTTCATAATCTATTTTGACCATATTTGGTAACTTCAGTTTAAAAAAAAATTATTGTATAGTATTTTGATCTTATTATCTGAATTGTTGATCACAGTAAGCAAAGTATTTTCAGTGTTTTCATATACAAACAGTCAGGACTTCAGCAATTCTATATTAATAACATTAACCATGAGCATATTAAGCAGCATCTACTGTATTAATTAACCAACTTAATCAAACTAAGCAATGCTGCACAGGATTGCTGCATAAACATGTAAAGACTTGGCTCTGGCTGATAACGCTGCATGTGAGTTCTAGGCATTGAACTAGAGCTTAGTACCTTAAAACTGAAACCTTCTTACATACATATCATAGTTTGAATTAATGCTCTCAGTTGATGTTTGATTAAAGTCTTTGTGAGTTAAGTTCCATTTCTTCACTGTTATAGTCTTTTAGGCACTGAGGTTTTGAGAAAAAGAATGTAACTGTGCAGCAGCTCTTCTAAGGATGTTTGATAAGTTCTGTAGAGGATACAGATTTGGAGATCTGGTTAACAATTTTATTCACTCAGTGCTTTAGATTTGAAGAAATTCATCAATCAGGTTTGCTACATTATCATCCAGAAAAAGGAAGTCAGACTAATACCTATAAACAGTACAAAGTCCGTAATCCGGACTCATCGGGACTTCGGCGATTCTGCATTAGGGTTTTTTGCGGGTTATAGATATTAGATTATATTTAAATCTGGTAAGGTGGCATGCAGAAATTATACAATTAAAAATATGAAACCGTAATTTATGAATTTATGTTTGAAATGTGAATTCCAGGTGAAAAGCTAGCTATGTTGTCAATGTAGGCTTTGCAAAAATCACCATGAACTTCAGAATTTCGACTATGCGTAACGTATACTTTACGCATGCGTGCATTGAAAGAAATGTTTAATAAAGTAAACAAATAAATATTCAGCTTTTTTTTTTTTTTTTTTTTTTTTTGATACCCTATAGATTATAATTGCTCCTTACTTCATAAGTTACGGTTTCATATTTTTAATTGTATAATTTCTGTATGCCATCTTACCAGATTTAAATTGATGATCTATAACCCGGAAAAACCCCTAATCCGGAATCGCTGAAGTCCCGACGAGTCCGGATTACAGACTTTGTACTGTATATGTGGGAATTTATTTATTCAGGACTCAGATATGCTTTAAAGCTTGTTCAAGAAATAGACGTAAGTATAATAAATAACTACAGCAGGCGATAGAAGCAAGACAATTTTAGTCGAACAACATATTTTTAGTTGCTAGTCTTAAAATACATTTCTCTGTAGTGTATAGCAGATGAATCGCATTGGAGAAGTGATAATAAATAAAGATGATATAAAAGATGTTTTTCATTGCAATGACAATGCCTCTGTTATCATCAACTAACGGATGGTGAAATCTATTGTATAGTCTCAAATCTAGAAAATATCACTACCAATAATGAAGAAAGTGATAGATATTTTGTTAAGAAATTTCATAGTTGTTAAAGAAATTTTGATTTACAATTTAGTGGTAATTTTAGACGTAGGAATTGCTGGACTTGAACATTATTATTATTATTATTTTTTATTAAACAAGGATATCTGTAAAATTAAAGTAAAAAATATTAGAACAAAAATCAAAACAACTTAGTAAAATTAAAGAAATAATATTAGAACAAAAATCGACGCAGCTTAAACAACTTACATTCAAAGAAATGTTGAATAAAGCAAACAAATAAATAATGAGTTTTCCCCCTCGTAAAGTCATAAAAGCTTTGAGTCCAGATCTCAGACTTTGTACTGGATATTAATCAGTAGTATGCTTTTTAGAGACTTCTGTAAATTCTTTTCTGGCCTGTGAGATAGTCAATTTTGCTGATATGTTATTAAACTGTCTTGATACTCGGTTGCTTTAAAACATCAATATTGTCTAGGCATATCAAGCATAATATGCTCTCTGTTCCACAAGGTGACAAAAATTCATTAATGAAAGCAACTTAAATAGGTCTGAATTCAGAATCATTTTTGCGTTCTTATATGTATTTACTGGAATAGCCATATAAGTTGTGATTCATTAAGCTTCCCTGGATATTTAATATGAAACTGCTGGAAGTTCTCATTTAATTGTATTTCTGTAAACGCAAATTCTTCTGGAAACACTGCAGATTAGTTGCTACAGGACAGTTATAAAATAGAACTTTCCGTTGGGTCGTTGGATAATCAGTACCTTAGTGTTTGAAGAAAATAATTTGGGATGTTTGAGGCTCTTAGTGTAATCTAATTCTTCCCAGATTATTATGTTTGATTTTGTTTTAAATGCATTAATCAGATTTTTTAATGTGGAATAAAACAAAAGATTTCAACATATAGGGACTTTTTAAAATTATTATTGTTATTATTTAACAAGCTAAGATTTGGTTAAAATATTATGAACATTTAACAAAATAAGCATACTCTTGTGAGGGGAGAAAAGGTTTCGGATAAATTTTATTTATTTATTTATCTCTCTCTCTCTCTCTCTCTCTCTTTTTTTTTTTTTTCTTAATCAACTTTAGGGCTGTTTCTATGTTCTAAATAGCAGTAGGTGGTCTAGACTTTGGCAAGTGAAATAAGTGAAATTGTAGCCCATAGGCTATGTCTTGGACAAACTTCATTTAGTTTTGTTTAATATATGCATGCTTTGTCTTTCAAGTGCGATACAGAGAGCTTGTACTAAAATAACAAGCAATAAAGTTTTGCTTTTGTTGTTGATAAAATTGCTGTGCATAAGATATTATTCATGATGTTAATAAAATATAATTTTAACACATTTCAAATAATAAATGACCTGTGTTCATCATAATAAATTACCTGTTTTCTTTGCTTACTATCCAGATAATGTAAATTGTTAAATGATTTTTTGTTTTTAAAATACATATAGTGGGAAAAAATTTATTTTGTCTCTTATGTTATCATTTGAGGTAAGCAGTGTTGTTTAAATGACTTAAAAAAGGTATTAATAATCAGTACCAGAGAAAATCTTACTAGTGTTGACTTTTTAATTAAAATTGAACACAATACAAATACAGCCTGTTCAAATTAATTTCGAGAAGGTGTCAAGATGCACGGTCATTTATGAAAGCATAATTTTTTTAGTAGCCATTTAGGAAAGCTTATAACTTTATTGACGATCATAAAGTACTTAATATAAGATCAATTGATTGGGATTAATTCTCATTTTACAGTGGAAATAGCTACTTAGCGCTTAGTGACACAAGAGCTCTGTGTAATCATCTTTGTGCAATGAATAAGGCAATTTAAAAAATTAAATAAGTGGATTATTTGCATTTCATAAGAGGTTAACAGATGATTGTGCATAATGGTGGTCAGCTCGATGCTCCAGCTGCATTTAAAAAAAAAAAAAAAAAACATTACTGTATTAAATTGTTGCTTTCTTATACTTATCCCTTGACTAGATTAATGAAAAGATCCCAAGACTAGTAGAAGAATGTTTTTCTAGTTGTTTTCTGGAACAGTAATTAATGTTCCTCTGTATAGGCTGTTAGATAATAGTTGCACTGCCACTGCATCTGTGCATTACGATCTACTAGTGAAGACGCACGTCTGCACAGTAACTGGTATCAGTTAATCATATGGGACTACTAATCCAAGACAATACAGTCAAACAATTTTAGATGCAAAGAGGGGCTGAGAAACTTTTCTTAATTAATCCCTGCTTTTTGCCAATACACTGCCACCTTTTTCATTCAAGTGCATATGTGCAGAAGGTAGTTCATTACTCTTCTAGTTCACAAGACAGATTTTGAGGATTTTGCTGCTGCTAAAATCAGAATTTTAGTGTTGTACAATTTTTATATGTGAAACTATTAGCAGGATGTTGTATATTATGTTAGAAGCTGTTTTTTCTTCTTAGTCTCCACTTTTCTGTATTTGTATGCATACACATTGAATTACAGTTTATTGATAAAAGCGTGAAAACTGACCAAATAACTTGATAGGTGAAAAGATTTATACAATTATATCAACTTGTTATTTAAGAATTATTTTTAATTCACATTAGAAATAATAATAATTTTAATAGGAGTATTCCCCTTTTAGAAGAAAACACTGGAACTTTTAGCAGCTTTTCAATATCCGTCATGACTCATGGTTAAGGCATACGATGAAGATAACAAAATTGGATTTTTATACAATCACTAATCTTTATTTTCACACATATCCAATTAGTTTGGCAAACACTTATTCATTCAATCATAATTATGATAAATTTCTATGTACATTGATTTTTTAAAAGAAATGACATAGGCATTTGAGAAGCGAAGCAGCAAAGCATCTTGCCAGGAGGAAAGCTTAAGTGAAAGTGGATGCCACAATTCAAAGGAAGACAGGAGGGAGCCAAAGGTTTCAGTTTGAGTTAGAAAAGTTTTGATTTACAATTATTTTGATTGGACAAGAGGTATCTACATTAAATATTACGTAACATGGAAAGATCTCAAATTTGGGAGAACAGATGAATTTAGGGAGAGAGCATAAAATCTAGAATTGTTATAATTTTAAGGTCACCAATTATTCTTAAAGCAGCCATCGTATTGTGTTATGCCTTACATATATATGTGTGTGAATATGTAATTTGATGTAAGTTTTTGCTATAATTAATTATATTCTTATTACTGCAGTTTTGTTTATGAAGCAATTACTGTTAAAATTTCTCACCTTGAGGTATAAAATTTATTTTTAATTAAATTTTTTAAAAGTGTAGATTTGAAAATTTTCTCATATCTTTCTTGATTTCAAAAAAGGAAAATTTAAAGGAAAGTAAAAGAAATTCCAAATAATGAAAATGCCGAAAATATCTGATGTATTTCTTAAAATATGCTTAAGGAAAAAAAAGAAAGACAGTTCTATATCTCCATTCTTCTGGGCCGATTGACAAAATTCAAATTGCGTTTTTCACATCTCGAAAGATGACTGACTTTGTTGGGCATAATCTGAGTCGTAGAATCGAAATATTGAAAAAAATTGGCATGTCATTTCAGAAAAAGTCCAATTTTGTGTCCAAATACCTATATTAGAACAATGCTATATATAAATCTAATACATATCGTAAGTCCTGCTTTCAAGACATGAAAAATGCAAGTTGAATTTTGTCAATCAGCCCAATAGAACGGGAGATATAGAACTATTCCATTTTTAGGGGGCACAGTGTACCTGTAATGCAAAACTTTCAAATCATTATATTGTCCATATTAATGAAACTTTATATGATAGATTTAATTTATCTCTTTCTTATAGATGTTTTTGAAATTTACAGATATTATGGAAAGTCCATGGCAGCATTGTCCTGAATTTGATCTAAAAATGAGACAAGTCACCTATACTTTGACATTAAATCATTCTATGGCAAAAAGTGCACAGACCACAGAAACCCAAGTGAGTTATTTGATTCTTTTGAAAATTGTGTTAAAGTTGTAAGTTTTTATTTCAGGCTTATATAATATTTGAAATAAAAAAGGATTCTTATTCTTTTTTACGGTAGTGAACTTATTTATCTTAGTGTAAATTCTCTGTGTTATAATAAATTTGTGTGATTAAACTGTAGGTGAATAAAAGTATACTATTTTTCAATATTTAAATTGTTTATATGATGTATCTTAAATGCATATTATTCTTATTACAGAGGTTGTTGAAGCACAGTAAACCAGGGCAAATATACACTGTGGATTGTGATGTTGTAAATACAGGAATACCTTACTGTGATGCATTTACAGTGAAATCCGTATATTGTTTAACAAAAGTATCAAAAAAAGAATGCAGGTTGCGTATATCTGGTTGTGTTCATTACAAGAAATCTGTTTGGGGATTAGTAAAATGTAAGTAACAAAAGATCAATATTTAGTTTAAAACTGTGTATTTAATGAGGTTGTTTTCTTCCTCCTGGATATTTGTGTCTTTATAGCACTAAATATGTATTAATAGTTTTCATTTTAAACTTATTTCTGAATGGTAGTTTTACTGTATTTTTTGTAATTTGTTTCTCATTAAATAATATTTTACTTGATGCTAATTCATCCAATGCTCAACTCTTGCTGCTTAATTACAGTTCCGGGACCAATGCAATGCATTCTAAGATTCCAACAGGTTTTAATTCTAATTGTTATATTTATTCATGTATCCATATTTTTCTCATATGGGCAATGATAAAATCTTAAATGCATTAATAAAAAATTTTTAATTTATTTATCTGCTGTACGAGCGTAGCAGACTAATGGATTATTTCCTCTAACAAAGAATGTAAAGGAAGGTACTACAAGGAATAAAAATTGACAGGAATTTTGAATTTTTTATATTTTGTAGATTTAATTTTATTTGATAATTTTAATTTGCTGATCTGAATGTCTTAATTTTTTCACTAATTATTTTACTAATTAATTTAGTTTGTGGCATCCTACTAATGCTTTGGATCTGATAATGACAACAGTTTTGAATCTGAGGATAGTATATCATTTTAAAATTCAATAAAATTAGAAAATAATTCAGATTTGAGGGGAGACTACACAGGTATATTTCACATATGAAGGCTAATGTATTTTTTAATATTTTTAAAACATTTTACCTGATTATGAAATCCCATCGATCATGAAAGCTGGCATAGATCATGCCAGACATCCATAAATCATTTCAAGTTTGAACAAACAGATCACTTTTTATTTAGTTAGGTAACAACAAATACAAGTCACAGGTATAATATATAAAAAAAAACTTTCACCGCTTTTTATAATTTTTCACCTTGCATTGCAATTATTTATTCATTTTTAAAGTCGCATATCGTGCTCGTTAATGCACACTTTTCTCGATGACAGGATCCTGTAATTTTGAAAATACTCTACTGCATGCTAGTCCATTGTACGTGAGTCTCAAATTTTAATAATATTTTTAAACTGCGAGCAAAAAATAGGTAAATATTATTAAACTTGCATCATTCTTCAGATTTACATGAAACCAAGGCAAAAGATCTTACAGTTAAGATGTGACATCATGCTTATCCATAATTTGCCCTAAATTTTACTTTTGACTAATTTTTGTTCACCATAAATGATCAACAGAAAAGTCAAAAGTAGTCTGTGTTTAAACATACTAGTAAGATTAGTTCTTATGATAGACTGTCGTAAACATTGGAATCCCTGACATGTTCTTAGGTCATACTAATTGATCACTTCTCTTTCTATGAGAATTATCCAGTTCTCAGGACAAATTACTGGAATTATACTACAATAGACACAGCGGGGAGAGAGGAGGACTAATCTTCATCATCTAAAAGAGAGCCATATAACTGCATTCACGTTTTAGATGTCATGAATGGAATTCTGAGGTGTAGTCCTAAACCTGCTTTATAATGGTTTTTATAAGTCTCCCATTTGCATAATTTTTCATTTAAAAAAAATCTAAAATTATAAATTATTCAAATTAGTTAAATGCCAGCTAGTCAAGTTTTGATCTGCAAATAACAGACATTGAAGACTATAAGCATTTTTTTAAGAAATGCACTCAGTATTGGAATCAACTTCCATAATAGGCTTCAGCAAGATTTCAACTGTTCCAACTATAGAGACAAATGAGCAATGCCTTCGCTGGGACTCGAACCTCAAACCTCTCGATACACACCGAGTGTGCTGGCCATAACACCACGAAGACAGGCTTAAAAGGCGGGAGAAATGTCTTATATACTCCTCCTTTTATAGGGCAACTGAGGATTAGGGTACCCAGTCACCGAATACTGGTGGTGGAGAACCGTCATCTGCCACCTTTTTCAGTTAAGGCACCACTATAGAGACATTAGGTTATTTTGATATTGAGACGGGAAAACTGAGCAATGCCTTTGCTGGGACTCTCGATATGTGCCAAATGCACTGGCCATTACACCACAAAGACATGCTAAGAAGGCAGGAGAAATACCTTATACAATAATTTTTACTTCCTTGTACGAAGTAAAAAGGAAGTATTGTAACTGCGAAAAGTTTCAGGTAGCATATTTCAACGAAAATATACATTTTGACCGCTATCGAACGCAATTTAACGATGCTTTTGCGTGATATCTGTACGTAAGGACAGAATAAAATACTCATTTCCTCAAAAAAAAAAAAAAAAAAAAATTACAAAACTGCTTTAAAATGAATTCTGAAGAGAATTTTTCATGACGTCTGTACGAACGTATGTACATACGTACGTATCTTGCATAACTCAAAAGCGAGTAAGTAGCCTCAGAACGTTGAAATTTTGTATATAGGACTGCTATAACATGTAGATGTGCACCTCGTATTTTGGTTGCAATCGGCCGCACAAAACGTATATAAATATATTTATATATATATCTGTTACCCGGCTCAGTGATTTGTTTTTTACTCTTATATGTTTGTAAATTGTACATTTTTTGCTTTAAAATTGATTGAATTATGTTGTTCTTATCTTCCTGTAAAGGTTTTTATGCCTTTAGTAAATCTGTATGCAATATTTTTAGAATTATCAACAATTTTAAAGTTGTTTAAGTGCCGCTAAGCCTAATAATATTTTTGATGGCGGCCATTGCTTGTTTACATTTGAAACAGCAGGATAGTGGATTTGTTGCCAATCTAGAGAAACTTAGCTTTGCAACAACAAAGATAACACCTTCATTTATTATTGCGAATTAAATCATGTTTAATCCATTCTGGAATTTATTCGAGGAAATAAGTGCTTAAGATTTACTTCGTAATTTTTAATATAGATATTTTGAATTTTTATGCGTTTTTGCCTTGTAGGGAAGTGAGAACTAAATTAATTGAATGAGAAATACTGAATCGTCTGCGAAAAACTGTTTCTTTTTTGTTTTGCGTACTTAATTTCTTTTATACATCGTTCTAGCTTTATAGTTCTAGCTTTAATAGAAGTTGTGGCAACGATTAGATAATTCTTTAAGTGATATAAATTTTGTGCATTCTGAGTTATAAAATGAACGAAATATAATACTATTAAGTGAACGTAGCGCCAGAGTGTCACTATGATAAATAAATAGAGTGAATTTTAAAGTATACATTTATCCTATTGTGGTTTATGCGCTGTCGGCGAAGTAGATTTAATTCAATCCAATACGTTTAAATGAAATGCAAGAAAAAATGCATATAATTTAATATTCTGTACAAGGAAGTCATGTGGTGTACACATCAGATTTTTAAAAGTTGTTCAGCTAATAATTCTTGTGTAGACTCTTCAGTACACTTGTCATTGTGTGAGTTTTCTTCCTGTCTTTCATAAGTCCTTTGTGCAGGTCTAGGACACCTTCGCCATTTCACCATGGCCGTTTTGCCATCGGGTTTCGCTGTCAATATATATTTATCTTTGTATGACTGTATTTTATTTTGCTGTATTATACTTGTATTAAATTTATTTAGTTTAATAATTCTGTGTACCTTTTGTATACTTATAAAGGTTGCTTTTAATACACTGCTGGCCACCCAAATTGCAACACCAAGAAAGACAAGAGATATCCCAAAATTTATTTAGTAGATAACATGTTGACCAAGTATCAAATGATTAAATTTATAGACTTCTGTGAAGTGTGGTTCCTTCCAGAATCAGTTGCCAGAGTAGCCGCCATTGTTAGAGATCACCACTGCCACATGCCTCGGCATTGATTCAAAGAGACTTTGGATGTGTTCTTGGTGTACAGTAGACCAAGCAGCTTTCACATGTTGCCAAAGTTGATCTGGTGTGGCTGCTTGGGATGTAATCTGGGTCAATCGTTCAGCAACCATGGACTACATGTTTTCTATCAGCGAAAGATCCGGAGAGCGAGCCGGCCAGGGAAGCAATTCAATCTGGCGATTGATGAAGAACCCTTGGACAATGCGTGCCCCGTGTGGTCGCGCATTGTCCTGTTGAAATATGGCTGTGGGCAAGCCCTGGTAAAAAAGGACAACTGGCTCCACCACCTCAGAGATGTAGCGCTGGCTGTTTAAAGTACCGGCAATGCATACTAGAGGAGTGCGAGAGTGATATCCAATACCGCCCCATACCATAATACCCGGTGCAGGACCAGTGTGTCGGTGCATAACGCAGCCGTTCAGCATCCTCTCTCCATGGTGTCTCCAGACTCGAATCCAACCATCGTGGTGTTGCAGACAGAAGCGTCACTCATCAGTAAAGATATTTTATTCCATTCTATTGTCCACATCTTTCTTTCATCGCACCATTGGCGGCAAAGACGTCTGTGGTTCTGCATCAAGGGTAGACGAAGCAATGGACCGTCTTGCGGACATACCATTCTGCTGTAAACGGCGTCAAATGGTACGTGCAGACACTGGATGATGCGTTACAGACTGAATGTGCTGTGCTATGGTTCGTGATGTGACTGAGCTATCCATCACTGCCATACACACAATGTTTCTGTCATGACGTGAAGTGGTGCACTGAGGTGGATGCGATCGAACACGTCGGTCCGTCGTACCCTCCTGCATCCAATAGTCACATATCCTCATTACAGTTGTTTGGTTTGTCCAACACGACTACCGATTTCCCTGAAAGATAATCCACACTCTCGGTAGGCCACTATCCTTCCTCTGTTGAACTCGGGATACTTGATCAAACGATGATCACTGTTTACTACGAGGCATAATTGATCGTTTTTCTGAAAAACCGCAAGAAAAAAATAATTGCCGAACTTGAAATCGTCGAAAACTTCAAGCCTTAAATAACGCTTTGAAGTGGCGCCACAGGCGCATGTGATGTGCGTTTGCGTTGAAATTCTAATCATTTGAATAACTCACCTCTGCTAATGCATGTTGTAAATTTCATGTTATTTGCATGCTTCCTTCAGGGTGTTGCATTTATGGTGGCC